CATGTCCCCTTGGTACTAATGACTTTTGTACAGTAAAAATTCCGACGTGTTTCTGAAGCCGCAGTTAAACGTCTTAGTTGAACTTGTGAAGGAATTTTAGTTTCATTGAGAAGGAAAACCTATCAGTCAAGGAAGCTTGCTTTGTAAATTCACCATTACAAATGCGATCTTCTTTCAATCAATCTACCCACGCATTTACTTCTTAACCGTTTTGAGGAGTTTTGTTGATCTAACTCTTTTGACGAAATCCTATAATGACTCTATAATGTAACCACTCAAGTATAATGAAACCTCTCTGTTTATTTGTTATTATTCTGCAAAAAGGAAATTTGGAAATGGGGATTTTTTTTTTTTTTTAAACTTTGGCCACTATAAGGAGTTCAAGGGTTAACCTACCATGCGTAGGATGCTATCAAACTAGTTTAAGTGTGCGTATCCCCATTGGGAATCCCCTATTAAGCCCCCTCTCTGAAATAAGCCTCCGTCTCTAATACGCCCCCCCTTTTTTCAGGGGAAGGAAAGGTACTAAGCTCCCCCTCTCTTTTAAGCCCATCCCCCCCTCCTCCCCTCCCCTCAACCTTATTATTCTTCACTAACAAATGATAGACTGTATAAATCAATCATGAATCAGTGACTGTAAACCTTCATTTGGACTGATCCGCGATGGTTTATTCACATGTTGGAAGTTCGGATTTGTTTTTGATCTTCAACTGCATGACCTCCAAATTCTTGTACTTGAACTTTCCATTTTGCATTCTAGCTTTTTATGGCCAGAACTGATACCACCATCTTCGCTAAATTAAATAAGGCCCTCTCTCTAAAAAGCCTCCCCCCTCAAATACGGTATGTTTGAAATAAATAAGCCTGCCAATGTCTGCGGGGTATTGATTTAATATTAACTGGTATAAAGCCTTGTGCCTTGTGGCGTGAAAGTATTAAAGTCACACAACGACATTTCACGAGGGAGAAAAAGTAAATTATAGGACTTATAAAAAAATATTTTGGAAATACTGAACCGGGTTTTTTCAAAAGCCGTTATTCTTATACCAAATGCAATTTGTGATAATTTGTGGAAATTTTTGTGCAAAATAGCATTTGTTACGGCGTGATCTTCTAACAGCTCGATTTAAAAAATATCTGGTAAATAAGGGAGTAAATATTAAAAAATAAAAAAAAAAGTGAAACATTTTGTAGTGGCTTGTTCTTCTACCTGTGATGTGCGATGGCCCATGGAGTTTTGTGGTGGCCCGTGGCAAATAATGAACTCTGGAGATTTCTTTGACACCTTGGAACTTTCACCCTCTACTTCGATGAAGTTTTTAAATTCTTGTCATGCTTAAGCTTACAAAAGTTAGGAGTTTAAAGAGGGTCTTTAAAGCGATCTGTCTGATCTCGTATACAACGTTAACGATGAGGAAACAAAGACTAAGTTTGCCGCGTTCGCTTATTATACAATCTATGTTCAATTTCTTGTGTTTTTCTTACAAGACATAATGGAAGCTGCACGATTTTTGCGTTACTTATCGTCATCTCGTGACTCTCACATCAACTTGAGGCTTGAATTCGAGACGTGACTCGCGCTTCAGCAATCTCGCCTCGAGCAAATTCCGAGGCTGACTTGTGATGCCAAATAGGCGTGTGACACTGCCGTGATGGGATAGGATGCCTTGTGATTACCTAGCGATCTTATAAATGTACCCAAGATGCCCGTGACTTTCAGTACTAGAGTTTCAGTTCCTTTTACCCTTTGGAAAATTCCCTCCCATTACAAAAGACGTTCTCAGATATCATCAATACAGCAAAGCGCTGAGACAATCGACGCTTTTAGCCCACGGAAAGCGAAGATACATTATTAAGAGGCGGAAAAGTTCCGGTCGCAGTCAATGCAGTACGTAGCATTCGAATCCAAGAAATTTCCTTGCGGAACACAGGTTAGCTTTACGGAATGTGTTTAGTATAAATGAATGTGTTAAATCAGCACGTGCAACATCGTGGGATTATCCAAACATAAGCTCAAGCACAAGAATTGGGCGTTTATGCTTGCGTCCGAAAGATTTACACCACTTAAATTTTCCTTTTTTTGCTTAAGCGTGTGCTTATTCATGCCTCGTACGTGCAAACGTTTTTTTATACGTAAGACTTCTCTGGAAACCACATATCATTCGAGTTTTCGACGCTGGTAGGTCACGCTCAGTCAAAACTGCTTGCTGATTATACACAGCTAGCTATCAGCCGTAAGATCGGACATGAAACCAAAGGAAAAAAACATATTTTAAACTCTTTTTGTAATTAAAGGAACAAAACAAGCCTGTGTTTTAGCGTTTCTAGCTGGACTGATACTCTGCATGGTTAAAGCAAAGCGAATTCACAAGACAGACTTCACGTGAACCTTTTTTATTTATTTGGTAGTGGCGCTTTAGTGTAGGGGAGCGTTTCTGTGCAAAAACCTTAGTGGCGAAACCGCGGTACTACTTCGAAAGCCGTAAGTTATTAGGTAGGCCGAGCTGAGGTCCGAAGTAGCTTTATGCTACGTTATTTACTCTTTAAATGACTTGGACAGTGCGTGTAACTGAAAAACACGTTTGACACAGCAAAAACTGATGTCATTTCAATATTAAAGTCGTCCAAAATCAATGTTCAAGGGACCGGGTCACCGTAATTTCACTGATTTTACTTAATATCACTGATTGTCGACTGGAATTAGTAAGTTTTAAAAAGCCTGCAGCTTAGCCCACAAGTCTTTTACGGTCAAATAACGGAAGTTGACTTTTAAACTTCACACTGAATCGCACTTTTACACACTGAGATAAACTTGAAAGTGGGAGTTTCCCTTTTCGGCTTCAATTCATGTGTATCTTTTGTGTTCTCAGTTTCAGTTTCAATTGAGTTTTTATTGGTTATTTTGATACTTCAGTTATTTCTTTCCCCAGTTTGCAAATGCTGTTAGAATTCCACTATGTCCCCTTGGTACTAATGACTTTTGTACAGTAAAAATTCCGACGTGTTTCTGAAGCCGCAGTTAAACGTCTTAGTTGAACTTGTGAAGGAATTTTAGTTTCATTGAGAAGGAAAACCTATCAGTCAAGGAAGCTTGCTTTGTAAATTCACCATTACAAATGCGATCTTCTTTCAGTCAATCTACCCACGCATTTACTTCTTAACCGTTTTGAGGAGTTTTGTTGATCTAACTCTTTTGACGAAATCCTATAATGACTCTATAATGTAACCACTCAAGTATAATGAAACCTCTCTGTTTATTTGTTATTATTCTGCAAAAAGGAAATTTGGAAATGGCGATTTTTTTTTTTAAACTTTGGCCACTATAAGGAGTTCAAGGGTTAACCTACCATGCGTAGGATGCTATCAAACTAGTTTAAGTGTGCGTATCCCCATTGGGAATCCCCTATTAAGCCCCCTCTCTGAAATAAGCCTCCGTCTCTAATACGCCCCCCCTTTTTTCAGGGGAAGGAAAGGTACTAAGCTCCCCCTCTCTTTTAAGCCCATCCCCCCCTCCTCCCCTCCCCTCAACCTTATTATTCTTCACTAACAAATGATAGACTGTATAAATCAATCATGAATCAGTGACTGTAAACCTTCATTTGGACTGATCCGCGATGGTTTATTCACATGTTGGAAGTTCGGATTTGTTTTTGATCTTCAACTGCATGACCTCCAAATTCTTGTACTTGAACTTTTCCACTTTGCATTCTAGCTTTTTATGGCCAGAACTGATACCACCATCTTCGCTAAATTAAATAAGGCCCTCTCTCTAAAAAGCTTCCCCCCTCAGATACGGTATGTTTGAAATAAATAAGCCTGCCAATGTCTGCGGGGTATTGATTTAATATTAACTGGTATAAAGCCTTGTGCCTTGTGGCGTGAAAGTATTAAAGTCACACAACGACATTTCACGAGGGAGAAAAAGTAAATTATAGGACTTATAAAAAAATATTTTGGAAATACTGAACCGGGTTTTTTCAAAAGCCGTTATTCTTATACCAAATGCAATTTGTGATAATTTGTGGAAATTTTTGTGCAAAATAGCATTTGTTACGGCGTGATCTTCTAACAGCTCGATTTAAAAAATATCTGGTAAATAAGGGAGTAAATATTAAAAAATAAAAAAAAAAGTGAAACATTTTGTAGTGGCTTGTTCTTCTACCTGTGATGTGCGATGGCCCATGGAGTTTTGTGGTGGCCCGTGGCAAATAATGAACTCTGGAGATTTCTTTGACACCTTGGAACTTTCACCCTCTACTTCGATGAAGTTTTTAAATTCTTGTCATGCTTAAGCTTACAAAAGTTAGGAGTTTAAAGAGGGTCTTTAAAGCGATCTGTCTGATCTCGTATACAACGTTAACGATGAGGAAACAAAGGCTAAGTTTGCCGCGTTCGCTTATTATACAATCTATGTTCAATTTCTTGTGTTTTTCTTACAAGACACAATGGAAGCTGCACGATTTTTGCGTTACTTATCGTCATCTCGTGACTCTCACATCAACTTGAGGCTTGAATATTCGAGACGTGACTCGCGCATCAGCAATCTCGCCTCGAGCAAATTCCGAGGCTGACTTGTGATGCCAAATAGGCGTGTGACACTGCCGTGATGGGATAGGATGCCTTGTGATTACCTAGCGATCTTATAAATGTACCCAAGATGCCCGTGACTTTCAGTACTAGAGTTTCAGTTCCTTTTACCCTTTGGAAAATTCCCTCCCATTACAAAAGACGTTCTCAGATATCATCAATACAGCAAAGCGCTGAGACAATCGACGCTTTTAGCCCACGGCAAGCGAAGATACATTATTAAGAGGCGGAAAAGTTCCGGTCGCAGTCAATGCAGTACGTAGCATTCGAATCCAAGAAATTTCCTTGCGGAACACAGGTTAGCTTTACGGAATGTGTTTAGTATAAATGAATGTGTTAAATCTTTTCTACCTTTAGTCTCGTTAATCCAGTTTTAAAGTTCGCATACGCCGGTGTGTGACTGATCGACCATCATGAGTCTGGATACTGGCGAGCGGGGACTGCGAAAAGAACAGTGGAGAGAAAGAAAGCGGAAGCGAAGGAGAATTGTCTCTCCGCGTTTCTTCGCTTTCTTGGCTACGCCCCGCTCCCACTATCTGAAAGCCTTAAACAGGCTAAGAGACCAAGTCATCCTCCGATTACCCGAAGTCGCTTACCCAAGGGTCGGAACAACATGTAAATTTCTTTGTAACTATGGTATAGTTAAATCAAATTATGCTGCTATTAGGTTAAATCATGTAGATCAGAGCAAACTCAATAACGTAGCTGTAGTAGTAAGGCGTAGTATTCCGGATACACATGTTATCACGAGTTAATCTATCCGTGGCTTCTTAACAAGACCACTTGAACAAACAGCAGCAAATCGTAGCTTGATATTTCTTTGAGTGTGTGCAAAGCTTTCTCGTGTCGATCCTGTGAGCTTTTATGTATATTTCATACATTTTCATCTTCTTTTTGACTTTCATTTATTCATTTAAGTGTCGTCCAGGTTGTTCGAGGGGGAGGGTACCTTCACTGCTATAAAATTCACTTCCCATATTCCATATTTTCGCTTTTGGGGCTTCGCGAGGCCTCTTTGTGTCGACGGTGAGTTGCTACGGATAGGGAAAAAAGAAAGCGATTGCTTACTATAAAAAAATAAATGGCATTGCAGCCGCGAAGCCTCTGTGAAGAGAGTTCAGGGTGTACTTTGAGGTATTTAGTCTATAGTGGAACTTTTTCTTTGGAACACCTCTATTCGAGGGACACCTTTATTTAGGGGACACAAAATTTGGTCCCGGAAAAAAGTTCACATAATCTTTGCATTTATTACCTCTATTGAGGGGACACCTCTATTCAGGGGCAAGAAAAAGGGACACTTTGTCTGGGTCCCGAAAACCGGGTTTAACATCATTCAGGGGACACTTTAGACCTCAAAATTAAAAAGTGACTGACCACAAACATCGTTAAGGGAAAAATATTTTGCTTGTTGGCTAATTATTAACAAACCCCATACCAAACCTCCATTCAGGGGACACGCTATTTTGGGGACACTTGCCTTGGTTCCGAGGGTGTACCCCGAATAGAGGTTCCCCTGTAATTTCTTTAACGTTTATCGGTGTTGTACCCCCATAATATCGAGGGAAAATTCCCGTGTTCACGTGGGTTCAAACTTCATTTTGCAGCGGTAGCAAAATTCTTCAACTGTGTCGACGGCAAAAGTATGCTGTGCATGTATGTCAGAGCTGTAGTTTTTGGATGTATCTTCGTAACGGTGAGTACAGTTTCAATTTCGCTTGATTTTAGCTTTAGGATAAATCTTGTCTGCTTCTTATGATGTATTGTGGTGAGAAGGAGAGCTTTTTAGATTCATGTTTTTAGTCACCTTTGTTTCAACACGAAAGGCTAGTGAAGTGGTCGCTGCCTTATAATTTACTTCCATTTGCTTTGTTCCTTCGCTTATCGCTTTAACACACTTTAGGGAAGGCCTGTAGAAGCAATTTAGAATTAAATATTTCTAAAAACAAGAGCATTTTTTTCAACATAGGCTTCATGTGCAAGCCTGTGCATGGCTGTAATTTGATGTTTGTAATAAACATCATCGGTTGTTAATTTCACTTGCGACCGAAATGAAACGAACAAGTTGTTTTTAAAATCCATATTTGTGTATGAACTGATCTTAATCGTGTTCAGTTCGGTTGAGTCTGCGGTTTTTCGCTTGTGAATCAACCTTTTCAGTTCGTAAGTTTTCGAACAGAAGCTTCGTGCGAACGCAAAAAAGCACATGGCTCCGAAGCTCTGAAACATAATCTCGGACAGGAGACCACCACGACAGTATCAACCCGATACTGTTTTCGGGCCGCAACTCGCCATAAAAATTATGAATTTTGCGCTTAGAAATCATGGTATATTTAAGGCTGATAGTCCAGTTCCTTGCAAAGAATAGACGCAATGTTTGTGATCGATAGGTGGGTATGTTTTGATTCGCGATTTGCATCGATTAAACATTAACGTGTATACATATCAACGTACAAGCGATAATTTACACATTTGTCGTTTTCAGCTTCGTTTAATATCTGTCTTGTTTAGAAATACAAAGCGCGATAGGATTGAACTGTTGATAAAAACAACGCAAAAGCCGTTATTCGGAGCAGAAATTAATGGACCTTTTAACTTTGCCTGAGGACAAATTCATTTGACAAATCGCTTTTATTTGCTCTATATGAATTGTGCACGCATCAGTCAGGCGGAATAAGATCAAAGAAAAGATAGCGCGTGAATACAGACATAAAGGATGATTCCCTCGTAATTGTTCTTTGGTTTTCTTCATGTTTTCTTCCAGATACTAGGCTTAAACTGCTAGCAAATGGTTCATTTTGCCAGCTAGCACTGTCGGCCATTTGAGGCGCCTCCCACTTTGCATAAGTTTAAACTTGTCTGCTTGTGGAACAATAACTTAATAATAGAACTTCCAATTAGCCTTTGAATTCGCTTCATTGCTGCTCTTTGAAACACCAGTTGAGTGAAAACTGCACAAAGAAAAGCAAAAGCCGTAGAATGTTTACTTTATTGTGCTCTTTACAACACTACCGCCCGCTGAGCGACTCGTGCAAGCCCTGGTTTTGGCGTGCCGCGCTCGAGACAAACAGTGACTGCAGTACTCCTAATACACAATACATTATGAGGGCAATGGCTGTAAAATAGGCGATAGAAATTTTACTAACAGAAGAACTCACAGTGGGACAGCGCTCCGGATCAAAAGGTTCAACTTTTGTATCAAAATTCACACAAAAGGAACAACATAGTTGAAATTGTTCGCCACCTGTGCGCAAGCCAGGAGTGATGCCATAAAAATTATTTGTTTATATCGCTTCCCTGATCTTTTGGAAATATAATTGAAAATTGCAATTAGACCGGAATTGCAGCCACAAATGCTAAAAAAAAAAAATTCGGCGAGTTCTCACCGTTATTTGGGAAGAAATAAAAAGCTATTTAGTGAATATTGCAGATATTGGCCATGGTTCTTTTTATGTTTCAGCGACGTCTGACCAGATTTACAGTTCAAAACGTCTTGTTCTTTTTTTGAGGATCAAATTGCCCGAAGAGGCGGAAATTCCAATGGCCTTAACATCTTTTATTATGGAACTGAAATTTCAACACTAAATGAGAATTTGAAGTATGGCGATTACGGCAGTATTGAGACCCCAAAACTAATTAGCGACTACGCAAGACTCAGTCACAAGTTTTAAGTTTTGAATTTCTCGGTCATCCAGTTGTGAGATTAAAGTAAAGCAGTCAGTGATTTTAAGATTACTTTTTGTCTTCGATTTTTAAAATCAAGGACAAGAAATCGCTCCAAGTTGCGTGTTTGCAGTGTCAAATTTCACAACCGGAAATCATACATTCGTGATCTGCACGGCGGGTATTCGTTTTCCCATAGGAATATATGTCGTCATGTTACGAAAATTACTATCACAAGCACGTATCGCTATTCTAATATGATAGTTTATGCCTTAAAATTGGCGTAGAACGCTTATATAATGTAATGCTATGGGCAAGCCGCCAGGTATTACATAGACTATTTTTAAGTAAACAGGTCGAGATGACCGTAAGATCCAAAAGCGTAGGATCAAGTGATAAACACGGGAAACCGACGTACTTCAAAACTTGACGGAAATCTACAAAACGAAATATGTAAATACAAGTTGATGTCTTGTTGAGAAATGACATTGTTAATTTTGATCACTGAGTGATATCAAAGTGTCTGACATTACTTAATTCTGTAGTGCTCGAGTGAATCAGTAATCAGTGCTGCCTTCGATTTACGACCAGTCGCACAGGGCACGAACTGCGTCGTCTTAGGCGTTAACAAAACCTGGATAAGATCGGATCGGATCTACTCTTGTATCTCACTAAATGACAAAAGGTAAGAGATAGGGTCACTGAGAATGGTCCAATACGATCCTATCCAGGTCTTCCAACGGCCCATCGTCTAGCACAAGCAATGTCAGAAAATTGAACCTCTGGGACACTCGCAACCAGTAAAAATTTTATTAATATTTATCATAACACGTCCTGTGTAGGTTAAACACTTCACATGTGGCAAAATTACATGGTCTGAAACTCATTCCTAGAGGAACCCAGGGAACTATCAGAGTCGGATTCGGCCCGGATGCTATTTTTAAAAGACGATATGACAAAAAACGTTACGTCCAGTCCTTATCCAACAAACCCTTTGGCAAACACATACACAGTAATAAAGCTAGGAGGTTTCATGTGAATGGGTACACAGACTCCAGAAGGTAGATCAACCTTGAAAAAACTTGTCATTTAATAAATGATAAGGCTTGGGACTTTACTGTGGACTTAAAATCGTGTAGAAATCATCTTGCATCAAATCAGTTTCATAGCAACACAAAGCTAAGATAAACTTTTCGTGGTTGCTGATCATATTGGTCTAAAGGAAATTAATGACAAAAATTAGTTGAGACAGCGTAAATTTATAACGGCTTTGTTTTTTGTTTACTCGCATGGCCTGACAGACTCTTTGATGTAACCAGTCAAGTGAGTTTTCTTTTGTCCTACTCTTATATTGTAAGTTCTTTCTTGTTCTGTGGACAAAATTTTATGGTGTGACCATTTCAGTGAGGCACTGTAACTACTCTCGGATCTTTTAGTGTCAGTTTGTCGACAATAAACTAGGGTAATAATGACAAACGTAGGATTCGTTCTTTAAAAGGCGGTAGCGACTACAGGTATTTCACCAAAACTTGAAAGTAAGTCGCCTTCAATTCAACACAGAAAGAGGTTTACATCCGGTCTTTCAATCGAATGGCCCCAAGCGTGGTTTCATTTTGTAAGGAACTAATCGAAGTGCAGGAGGCAAGACACCTTGAAAGAAGCATCATGGTGGATTTCAACAACAACTTCATTCCTCTAAGCATTGTGGGTAATGACAATTTCCTTAGAGGGTACTCAATTTATCACACTGCTTTCCCCATAAATGAGATTGAAACAGTACAGACAACAAACCTGCAACTACAAATTAAGTCGGTCAATCGGTTTTCTATTCTTCATTGATCGCCTCAAAACAATTGGCACGTTTGCAGACTCTTGGCCAGACCTAGGCTCCGATTCCTCATCATCAGCCCTGACTTGTGGTTGTTATATTTTGATAATGGTGTCTCAATACCTCATTTAACCGTTTATCATGAGACCTTATTTACTGATCTACATGACATGAACATATCTAGTTTTCAAGTTCCACACACTTTTACCTGACAGTCCAAGATCCATCTCTCAATAGTGCTGTTGTCCATAACCCAGCTGTGTGTAATTTCCTGGAAACTTCCCATCCCTCGTTGGCTTCAAATCCTTGTATTCCTTCTGTTTTTTCTGTGCTCTTAATCACTTGGCCTACGGTAAGTTTCAACCGTCGTCTGCGAGAACGAGGGTGACGTTTCAGCCAGCGTTGCCCCTGTCGTGTTGTGCGATATCCCATTGGTCTGGGCCTGTGGCCTTCTGTATGCTTTTTTCACCAGAGCGTCGTCCACCTTTCTGACCAGACCGACTGTTCAGCTGCCCCATTTGATCGAGGGAGATTATAGAATGAAATCATGGTGTGCTTTAGTCCATAATTCATGTCCATTAACCGATACCATTTGTTTGGCTAACCGTGTTGGGCAAATACGGAGGGATGGCTGTTTTCGCTGGCTATTTCTTTGTGCTTTGTGTAGGAGGAAGCAGCGTGGCCGGATGGTTAGAGCGCTGGACTTGAAATTCGGAGGCCCCAAGTTCAAGTCTCGCTCTAACCGCTAGCTGGATTTGTTCACGGTAGTCCCGAGTTCAGATCCTCGACCACGCTTGAAAATAGCCAGTTGGAATTCTTAACCGCGTTAAGTTTGATTTTAGGCATTTGCTCGGCCACACTGGCGTTAGTGCTATAAATACTGCCGAGGGTAAATAACGGAATTATTTATTTATTTATGCTCGTCCCTACTTCCTGAAACAGGCTAAAAGTTTGTTAATCTAGTCGTTTTCTTTGGGCTCTGTGATTACGCATTTCTATAAACGTTCGTACATAACTAGAAATGCTTCCTTATAATAACTGACTTTGTTCGCGTCGTTCTGTCGGTAATTCATTGCCCTCAGAGAAAGCTCACTGAGCATTTTAATTTAATTTTTTATTATTTTATTTTTCGGCTGTTTCCTTTTTTCAGTTAAGGAGGGTCACGTAGACAATAGCTGATTAAACAACAACCCGGCGTTTGACAGCATGCGACTCAGAAAATTCCTCTTGTTGTAAACATTACGATAATAGATCACTTTTGGTTTCCTTATTTAATGGATTAGTGTTAACACAAGAAGTGATGTATTGGAAGCAGCAGGAAATAATGGTTTTAGCAAACGTGTTTCTTCCCACTTCTATAAAAAGACAATGTTACCATAATTATTTTACATGTGACACTTCCGTTGTTAAAAACCCTTTGTTGGACCCAAATTGTCTTGATAACCAAATCAGTAATCGAACCTTGGCAATCGCTTTAGGTTCCTGCCTGGGCATGCAAAGTTCTGACGAGTGTCCCGTTCGAAAAGTCAAAAACAGCACACAGAAATAGAAAAAAATATGAACTACATGACATAAACATATCTAGTTTTCAAGTCCCACACACCTTAACCCGACCGTCCAAGATCCATCTCTCAATAGTGCTGTTGTCCATAACCCAGCTGTGTGTAATTTTCTGGAAAGTGCCAATCCGTCTGTGTCTTCAAATCCTTGTATTCCTTCTGTTTTCTCTGTGCTCTTGATCACTTGGGCTACGGTAAGTTTCAACCGTCGTCTGCGAGAATGAGGGCGACGTTTCAGCCAGCGTTGCCCCTGTGGTGTTGGGCGATATCCCATTGGTCTGGGCCTGTTGCTTTCTGTATGCTTTTTCCACCAGTGTGTTGTTCACCTTTCTGACCAGACCGACTGTTCAGCTGCCTTATTTGATCGAGGGAGATTATAGGATGAAATTATGGTGTGCTTTAGTCCATAATTCATGTCCATTAACCGATACCACTTGTTTTGGCTATCCGTGTTGGGCAAATACGAGAGTAGCTGCTAATAAAGTACCCTGTGATAACTGAAGACATTTGTCTTCCCTCGCGCCAATTAATGTTAGCAAGGGCTGTTGATCCGTGACTGGTGTGCATCTTGAATTATTTGAAAGGCCTTCCTTAAAAGCTTCGAAAGCTTTCTGGTATTCCTGTTTCCAAACACTGGAAACCCTTTTGCAAAGCTTACACAGGGTTGCCAGCGTAATGGTCATCCCTCGTCAGGAAAGAATGATAATATTGGACTATGACTAGGAACGATCTCAGTTCACTTACTGCTTTACTTACATTTCAAGGGATTGGTCTCTTTTTCTGCAGTGATTTTCTGTTCTTCAGTGGTATGGTATTATGACGGTTCTCCAGGACATCTACAATATCGACGAATTGTGTCTTCTTGCGTTTGAATGGCACCAGGAGAATTTTGACGAGCTGCAACTGCTGTCAGGAGAGGAATCTAACTCGTTTTCTATCCTTTCTTCTTCTTCTCTTGAGGGCTACCCTTCTCTGTTGTCTTCCTGATATTAGCTCTGAAAAATACTTTCATTCCTTCCACCTGATTCACGACGCTCGGTATATAATGAACTCGTCGCTAGGAACCCTAGAAACGAGAAGGGATGGCTGTTTTCGCAGGTTATTTCTTTGTGCTTTGTGTAGGAGGAGGCAGCGTGGCCGGGTGGTTAGAGCGTTTGACTTGCAATTCGGAAGCCAAAGCCCCGAGTTCAAGCCCCGCTCTAACCGCTAGCTGGATTTGTTCACGGTAGTCCCGAGTTCAGATCCTCGGCCACGCTTGAAAATAGCCAGTTGGAATTCTTAACCCTGTTAAGTTTGATTTAGGCATTTCCTCGGCCCCACTGGCTTTAGTGCTATAAATACTGCCGAGGGTAAATAACGGAATTATTTATTTATTTATGCTCGTCCCTACTTCCTGAAACAGGCTAAAAGTTTGTTAATCTAGTCGTTTTCTTTGGGCTCTGTGATTACCCATTTCTATAAACGTTCGTACAGAACAAGAAATGCTTACTTGTAATAACTGACTTTGTTCGCGTCGTGCTGTCGGTAATACATTTCCCTCAGAGAAAGCTCAATGAGCATTTTAATTTAATTTTTTATTATTTTATTTTTCGGCTGTTTCCTTTTTTCAGTTAAGCAGGATCACGTAGACAATAGCTGATTAAACAACAACCCGGCGTTTGACAGCATGCGACTCAGAAAATTCCTCTTGTTGTAAACATTACGATAATAGGTCACTTTTGGTTTCCTTATTTAATGGATTAGTGTTAACACAAGAAGTGATGTATTGGAAGCAGCAGGAAATAATGGTTTTAGCAAACGTGTTTCTTCCCACTTCTATAAAAAGACGATGTTACCATAATTATTTTACATGTGACACTTCCGTTGTTAAAAACCCTTTGTTGGACCCAGATTGTCTTGATAACCAAATCAGTAATCGAACCTTGGCAATCGCTTTAGGTTCCTGCCTGGGCATGCAAAGTTCTGACGAGTGTCCCGTTCGAAAAGTCAAAAACAGCACACAGAAATAGAAAAAAATATGATTGACATTAAGCCCCGGGCGAAAGGTTATGTCACTACGTTTTATGTTTTCATCTCATGATCGTCGTTGTTTAAACTTCCAAACGAAACACCAGGATGTGTCCTGCTTCGCTCGGTTTTCTCAACGTAATTGCTATTTTACTATGCGGAGGACAGTTGTGGTCATATTTTAATGGCGTCAAAGCCCAAGAAAAGGTTTGTACTTTAGCACTTCCCCCCACGAGAGCATCACGTAGAGCTGATGGGCATAGCTTAACTTTTATCTTTGCTCACGTATCTTGTTCGAGAGGAAACTTTCCCTTTCTCACTTTTTTGGGATTTATCATCTCACATTTTGTGAAGTGGCATGGTTTTTCAGCAGTTCTGTCACCGAATCTCATAAGTTTTTCGACTTGCAGATAAAATTTACGAGAATCGAATGAGATACATTTTCTAACCGCATTATTTTCAATTGCTGAATTTCTTGCGTCGTGTTTATAAGCTAACATGGATACAAGGGACANATTGTCTTGATAACCAAATCAGTAATCGAACCTTGGCAATCGCTTTAGGTTCCTGCCTGGGCATGCAAAGTTCTGACGAGTGTCCCGTTCGAAAAGTCAAAAACAGCACACAGAAATAGAAAAAAATATGATTGACATTAAGCCCCGGGCGAAAGGTTATGTCACTACGTTTTATGTTTTCATCTCATGATCGTCGTTGTTTAAACTTCCAAACGAAACACCAGGATGTGTCCTGCTTCGCTCGGTTTTCTCAACGTAATTGCTATTTTACTATGCGGAGGACAGTTGTGGTCATATTTTAATGGCGTCAAAGCCCAAGAAAAGGTTTGTACTTTAGCACTTCCCCCCACGAGAGCATCACGTAGAGCTGATGGGCATAGCTTAACTTTTATCTTTGCTCACGTATCTTGTTCGAGAGGAAACTTTCCCTTTCTCACTTTTTTGGGATTTATCATCTCACATTTTGTGAAGTGGCATGGTTTTTCAGCAGTTCTGTCACCGAATCTCATAAGTTTTTCGACTTGCAGATAAAATTTACGAGAATCGAATGAGATACATTTTCTAACCGCATTATTTTCAATTGCTGAATTTCTTGCGTCGTGTTTATAAGCTAACATGGATACAAGGGACATTGACATGTTGGATCAAGTAAAACACCCTTGGGCCGCACGCAAAAAGTGGCTGCCCTTTGTTGTCATCTTACGGCAAAAAGAGACAATTAGGAACTTGTTTTACTGGAATAAGAAAAATGTTTATTTATTTTCTGTTCGGAATCCTTCGTTCCTTTCGCCTAATTCTAACTGTAAAATGAAAGTACAAGACCTATTTGGCAATCAGTTCAGTATACTGACTTAAAAAAAAAACATGACTTCGTTGAATTTCCTTGTCTTTTGACTGATAAATAAGTAACACAATTTCTGCTTGGCGTAATTTTAAGTTCAATTTCATGATCTCAAATATTTTGCAAGCTCAGCGTCTCTTTGAAATCCAATAATGGCCAGGATGAATGCATACCTTGTCGTGTTAAGCCCACCATTTGATACGACATTTGTTTATCGGGTTTTTCAGCGGAAATTTCTAGCCAAAGTCCACGCTAATGCAACTTTCTGTACAAAGTACGGACAAAGTTAAAATTCATAAACAGAAATTTCACTGAAAGTTTCATTTCTTTCTTTTTTTTTTACACCCCGCAAAAGCAAAAAGCCATTTAAATCGAATGATTGATGGCCTACGAAAACAGCCACGCTCCTCGCCTGCTAGGGACGTTTCGCCTGGAGAAACTCGGCGAAGAGCAAGGAGAGCTAGCGCTTTTCGCAGGCTAAATGACTGACGACAGAGGAAAGCTAACTTCAGCTACAATGAAGACGCGTTCAATGCTTGGTTGATATTACAGCCATCTTTCCGATAACCGCTGAAAAAAATGAGACTTTATAACTGACACCATGTTGTTAACGCTGTTAGTGTTTAAAGTCGAATGTTTTCTGGTTCTATCTCGGTTCTATCTCCGTCAAGGAACTCGGACCAAGGCATGCAGCGAATGAATATTTTAGAAAATGTCTCGAATGAAAGGACAGCATTAACTGTCCTATTTACGTTATATATCTAAAGTTCCAGTTGACTTAGTGTACCATAATCGTCTGAAATCATCTCCCTTTGCAAATCCTCAAGCGTTGTGTGGTTATATTTTTCATAGTGGTCCCCAAAAAATCAAGCAGGTTCTTATATGTGGGTAACAGGTAAATTATGATAAACGTTTTAGCCAAGGAGTTTGACTTCGAGATTGCCAAGTGATATTACAAGAAAATACTGCAATAAACTGTCATTACAAATAGAAGCATTACTGGTAATTCCTACAACGAAAACATGTTTATAAAAAGTTCAGATTGTAATTCCCTTCATGTACTTTGCATCAATGAGGTTACAATAAGTACTGTATATTTAGGACCAATCTCAATTTTCTTTATATTTCTTGTAGTCAACAATTATACCTCGTTGAGAGAAATTATGAACCTGATTATGGACCTACTTAGCCTAAATTGCCAATAACTACCCCAAAATAGAAGACTCGTTTTGGCCAGGCCTTGAAAAGGTGTAGGTTCTTATACGCTGGTGTATATTGTATTAATCAACTTTTCATTTTTACTGTTTTGTTCTACAGAGTATATTTGCAGTTAATTGCCCCAAAGGAAGTTTTATTTCAAGCGTTGGCTGTACGCCATGCCCAGAGAACGAGTATTCAGACTCTGTAAATAGCACAAAGTGCTGGAAATGTGATGAGTGTAAGGGAAGGCACAACCTTGTAACTCGCGTCTGCAACTCTACTTCGAATACGAAATGTGCGTGCGAACCGGGCTTCTACTGGGATGACGCCCTTTTCTGTTTAAAATGTGATCGCTGCAAGAGAGGACATGGAATGGTCAAAAACTGCACATCTGACAGTAATACCGTCTGTGAACATTGTGAACACGTAAGGAGGAGACGTATTATTCATTCTGTGTTTTTATAGGAGGCAGCGTGGTCGAGCGGTTAGGGCGCTGGGGCCCATTTCTCGAAAGTCCCGATAATTAACGGGCCCGGTAAGCTGTCTCGGTTTCCATTAAAGATCGAGGTTTCAGTAGTTTTGCATCTAAAATGATAAAACTATCAGTTAACGAAACAAAATGAAGTTGTTTGCCAGCCAGGACCCGCGCTCTTATTCTTTTTATTTCGATTTGAATATTTGATTTCGGGCCCGAAAAGATAACGGCACTTTCGTGAAACGGGCCCCTGGACCTGTAATCCGGAGGCCCGAGTTCAAGTCCTGCCCTGACCGGTAACGGGATTTGTCCTTGGTAGTCCCGAGTTCAAATCCTCGGCCACGCTTGTAAAATAGCCAACTTGTTCGCCTCCTGCCAGTTGGGATTCTTAAGATAATTATGTTCCCTTTGAACTATTGGACAGGTTCATTCTTCCCAAAAAGCCCTATATGGGGAGAGGATATACAGTCGACTCCCAATAATTCGAACCCTCAAGGGAAATCAAAAACAAATTCGAGTTATCGGGAGTTTGAAGCAAGTAACCGGAAGTAAGGAAATAAGCAAATGGATGGGAAAGAAAGGCAATTAAGTAACAAAGTATACGGGGATGGACACTGAATTTGAACTGGAGTGAACAAAAAGGAAAGACAAAGATTTACTCGGTTGTTTTGAAATAAATTCAACGTTTCGGACTTCAGTACACGGTTTTTTTCCCGACTTGTCACGCGCTTATAACATTGTTCGAGTTATCGAGGGTAAAATTGTATAGAAATGAGCTGAAGGGAAACAAAAATTGCTTTGAGTTAGCGGAAGCTAAGGTTTGAGTAAACGAGGGTTCGAGTTACCGAGGGTAAAATTACAGTAAATGTAAGAGGGAAATCCAGGGGAAATCGACTTTGGTTCGAGTTAGCGCGAGGTTCGAGTTAGCGAGGGTTCGAGTTATCGGGAGTCAACTATATTGATAAAGCTTTAGATAGACTAAAGCTTCTGTTTTAGGACCTCTTTATCTTCAAGTTCAACTGATTAACCCTTTAAGTACCCAAAGTGGTCATATCCATTTTTTCCCAACAAAAACAACAACATCAGTACACCATCAACAGAAACGATTATGAGAATTAATCTCTTAACAAATCCAACTTATTCCTTAAGGAAATGTATCAAGCACAGACTGGAGAATTTGTAAGTGCATATTGGGCCTTAAAGGGTCAAGGAAGATGATGATGATGATTATTATTATTATAATTATTATTATTATTATTATTATTATTATTATTATTATTATTATTATTATCTATTCTGTCACAGTCTTTGCTGGTGTTCTTTTTCTGCATCACCCGGGTGCAAACCATGCACCTGGAGCATCAGTCACTCAAGTCAATCATTTTCTGTTCATACACTAAGCACCTTCCTAAGGAGATCCCAGCATGCAGATCTCTTGGGTCTCTGTCACAGTAGCTCTCTCTGATACTTTCTTGGTGTTTTCTACCATTCTCTTAACTGTACCAAGCTCACCAACATATTATTATTACTATTATTATTATTATTACGAATGTGCTTCCAAAAGCACTCTTAACCATCGCTGCTCTAGGATGATCATATTTCTTCATCAGTTTCATTCTTATTTCAGGGTAAGACTTACTCTGACAAGAAGGACTTTAACTCGTGCAGGAATTGCTCGATTTGTCCAGATGGCTATTTTGAACAGAGAAGATGTTCTAGAAAAAACGACACCATTTGTCTGAAGGACACAGAGCAGAATAAATCTAAGAATAATTGGAAAATCGACAACCGTGGAAGGTCGTCTGGGTCGAGGCAAAGAGGAGGATCGAAACCAAGATTAAAAAATAAAAACAGCACACAATCGCCAATACCGCTTTCAACTAATACATCATCAAAAAGTAAGTGCAACCTTTGTTGTCTTTCCTCTAAGACATAGAGTCTGTCACATGTTAATTGAGAAGAATTCCATGTAGACGATAGGCCCAGCTATTAGGAAGCTTAAGCAACGACGACGACCGTGTAAAACGTCGCCAGTAAAACGAATTTACGTCCTTTCAAACTTAATCGCGTCTATTTGGACCGCTCAATTTGTCAAATGAAGGCACTTTTTCCTGACTTGAACATTTAATCCATCTTCAGGAAGAGAAAGGAAAATTCGTCCTCACATGTTTACGTCCTCAATAAAACGTGGTAGTCATGTAGTGGACGTCAAAGATGTGTACTGAAAGGCATTATACACGTGCAGAGTTGTTAACCATAACAAGTGTTGGTCCTTTAGACTTAGCATCCACGTACTTGTCAATTCTCGTAACCTATTCTTTTGACTATGTAGTGATATTGTTAGAACGAACTTTCTCATCAACGACTGCATGATGTTGGGCAATCTTTGGACTTAAGGAGCTGTGTCACGACATTTATCAAAATTCTAACAGTAAGAACCGCCACCAAAGTGAGGAAAACTTAAAAATAATCGCTCAAAATATTAAAAGAAGATACACATAGCACGGCAAATATAAAAGTAGGCATGGATGGACAAACTAAAAGAAGATTAAAACGGATTGGAATTGTGGGTTTTTGAAAACTTGTTAGCCTGTAACAGTTTCTCAAAGTTCATTTTTGTTGTTTGTAACGTTTGTTACAATGCTTTGGAGGTATATTTGTTGGAAATGAAGCTGTGATTCTGTCGTTTACAAGTAAATTCTTCCTTAACATTACGCTCAAAAGCGCATAAGAAAGGGGATCTGGATGGGGTTACCTCGATAACACTGAACACTTAATTTTTTGGCTTTGTAACATGAAACAGTTAAATTTTAGGCATTTTAAAACTAACAGTAAAAAATTATTTGAAACAGTAATTTTTTTCTAGAACAAGCAAAAGCGACTCCAAAAAGGCCAATATTATTTCGTTTAATATGTCAAGGAGTTACGACAATTCCGGATTATTTCAGAAGATTTCCGAAGGCTACCGACCATCCCCGAAGACTGTCGAAAATTTCCAAAGACTAACGAAGAAGTCCGACCATTGCAGAAGATGTCCGGAGGACCCTCCAAACACTTCACTGTATTTTCTTCGGAAACAGTAAACATTAAAAAATTGGCCAATTTAAAAATCATGGGCAAATAACACTAAACACTAAACCCCACTCAGACCCTCAAGAAAGCGCAATTGGTAATATTAACCAAAAAATGAACCAGACAGTTGTGACACAGTCCTTTTAAGGGTAGAGAGAGTTGATTGTACATTCTTTTGCAACAATTGTGTTGTTTTGTTTTAGCGTTTGACGGATCCTCCTCATTAAAATCCACGGAGATGGTAACCACAGGGAGTGAAATGGATCTAGTGATAGCTCTCGGTGTTGTGAGTGGTTTTGCCTTCCTGGTTCTTATAGTAACACTTTCTCTGATGTTCTTCATACGGAGGAAATCTAGAAAGTCCACAAAGGATAATGACAAAGGTGAGACTTTCAACAGTGGTGTTAATGAAATTTTCCAACGAGGGGGCAAACAAATGGCAAACTAAACTTCGTGGTCTGTTTACCTTGTGCGCTACCAGACACGGTTAAATCTGTCGTAACTAATGAATTTACGACAACGCCAACTTCCCTAAATTCACAGAAAAGTAACATTGAACAGTGTATGAAATATAAAACTAGTGAATCGTTTTCAGACAAACTAAAGTCAGGCTTTGTTGAATTTAGTGCTCTTCTGTTCTGCGTATTTTTTGTTTGTCTTTTGTTAGTAGTTTGTCTTCATTTCTTGAAACGTTACATTCCATTGGGGTGAGGGTGTCTGAACTTATACCCTAGATTACTGACAAAAATACGAAAAGGATAACAACAGCTTTTTCCTACCTTATTGTAACGTTGTCCAAGCTACTGCCAAACAACTAAGAAAGCCTAGAATTATGGATTGTTCTGAAGAGCAAGGGCATGGTACAATACAGAGAGATCATTTCATCTCTTTTGCATGCCAAAATAATTGGTAGCTGAATTTGCGTCTATTTATCCTTCGTTCGCCACTGACTTTTCATTTGTCTTTCATCAAACCTACAGAAAGAGTGGAGGATCCAACGCCGTCTGCTTCGGCTACAGAAGTCGCTCGAGAGAACCCTTACACATCTCTTCCGCACATTGGCACCGGTCAAGGTTGGTTAATTGTCAACTCTCATACTCTTGGTGGAATTTTTACAGCGGTGAAACGTGAAGCTCATGTGTAGCTCGTGTGTGAATATTGTAGGCTTCCATAAGGCTTCAAACAAAGGGCATCCACAACGCCTAGAAATCGTCATTGTAGCATCATTCTACACTGTATCCTCTTTGCTTTGTCTCTTTTCGTACTTTTGAGACAACCATTCCGACCCATCTTTTTCACGGTCCATACTCATCCTGTCCATGCTCTTCTCCAATTTAGCATCTGTTTTCATCTTCCTATCTTTTTACACAAGGAATCCGAGAGCTGGACCACAACATCCAAATCGGTTCGGTTCCAGCTTGCTCGGCAATGACTACCTCTGTCAAGTTCTCTGAGTCACAGAGGTTGATTTTACCAGTTTCACCTGTAGGAAACAAAACGAATGAAGTACCCGAAGTAACAGGTTCAAGAAGTGAGAAGATATGGAGGAACACCGTAACGGCTGAGGTCAATTGCTGCTGCCCAAATTTTACTTTGGTTAGCAAGAAACGCTGGTCCTTGCGTGGTGGAGGCTGAAGCTTGTCTAAATCACATCTGGTATTTTTTNGTGGAGGATCCAACGCCGTCTGCTTCGGCTACAGAAGTCGCTCGAGAGAACCCTTACACATCTCTTCCGCACATTGGCACCGGTCAAGGTTGGTTAATTGTCAACTCTCATACTCTTGGTGGAATTTTTACAGCGGTGAAACGTGAAGCTCATGTGTAGCTCGTGTGTGAATATTGTAGGCTTCCATAAGGCTTCAAACAAAGGGCATCCACAACGCCTAGAAATCGTCATTGTAGCATCATTCTACACTGTATCCTCTTTGCTTTGTCTCTTTTCGTACTTTTGAGACAACCATTCCGACCCATCTTTTTCACGGTCCATACTCATCCTGTCCATGCTCTTCTCCAATTTAGCATCTGTTTTCATCTTCCTATCTTTTTACACAAGGAATCCGAGAGCTGGACCACAACATCCAAATCGGTTCGGTTCCAGCTTGCTCGGCAATGACTACCTCTGTCAAGTTCTCTGAGTCACAGAGGTTGATTTTACCAGTTTCACCTGTAGGAAACAAAACGAATGAAGTACCCGAAGTAACAGGTTCAAGAAGTGAGAAGATATGGAGGAACACCGTAACGGCTGAGGTCAATTGCTGCTGCCCAAATTTTACTTTGGTTAGCAAGAAACGCTGGTCCTTGCGTGGTGGAGGCTGAAGCTTGTCTAAATCACATCTGGTATTTTTTTAGTGGTCAGGTAGGGCGTCAGGCTTTATGGCCTGCCACAGGTAACTATGTAACCCGGTACTTCTTGAACTTCTGCGGAGAGGAACGAGTGGAAGAGAAGAGTTCACCGATACCGCTGATCCAGAGGAGAAGTGGCAGAAGGGAGGTCAAACAATTGGAAACGCCTCATCACAAGCGTGGATTAGTGTAATCCCCTTGGATCAATACAGCCAACTACATTCTTCTCCACTACATCGCTTGCTCTGAAAATACTTTGCTGATATTGTAAAATTTATCTCGTACTGTAATGAGGATAGTATGAAGTTTTTAACGGTATATCGGAACTGGTCTTCTCTGCAACCTGGAGGATGGATTTGGTTTGTGCCTTATAGCTTGCGAGAAAGAGGCCTTGTAATGCGAGCACAGCAACTAACCTTGACGAACGGCAGAACTCATTTTAATGTGGATTGACGAAACGGTGACGGTGATTTGCTTGGTGGAATTCCAAGGATACCACGTGATCTTCCTGTCTGCAACTCATTCCCAACCAGTGCGATTGTATTAGATCCTTATTGTCCTTGGGAACAGAAAGCAGTTGGTGCTGGTCAGGTTCCATGACGTATTTAAAACTTTGGAGGATTGTGCGAACGGTTAAAATCTGAGTACCCTACGAGGTATTAAAAGGTCAAACGCATGACTCCTATCAGATCGCACTAAGTACGAGATGCCCTTTCTTGGGCAATTTAAAAGGAAAGCCCTTTACTTTTCTAATGGAACTTTAATTTTTTTTCCTAAACGTCAAGGAAAAAAGATTGTGAACTTGCTGTCTTTGTTGAGGAATTGATTTTTATGCCTGCCTGCCTGCATACTCCAGTGGCCTTATTGACTTTTGTCCCTAGACAACCAAACCATTCGCTTTGGGTAGGGGATTTTTCGTGGAGCACATGGCTTTCTTTTTCTTGCAACCAGTGATCACTTTCTCCTCAACCCTCTTGGGTTACATGCAGTGAAACCCGTATTCAGCGGATCTGCCTTAAGCGAGCACTTTCTTAAGTGCCGACATTCATTTCCCTTAATGACTGAAACACTGACCTGTGTTGAGTGGTCACCTTTATTCGGCGGTCACGGTCACCTTTTCCGTGGTCCAAACAAGCTATTTTCTATTGCCTTCACCCTTATGAAACGGTCACTTTGTCAAGATGTACCACACAAGTGCAATAGATACAATGAGCATCACATTCAGTCGACTTTTCATCCTTTCTTTTGGCACAAAAACGGGTAGAAACACTTTGAGTCCAACTTGACAAGTTATGGATATTTCGCTTTGTCAGCAACTATATTTTCTTGATAAACTTTAGGGTCTGTCAAACCTTTATTAAGCGGTTTGTTGGCTGTTCCCCAAGGTTGACCGCGTGAAGCAAAACTGACTATACCGTCACACAGTGTAATCTAATGTCTGACAGTCTTCGTCGTTGTCGACGCATGGAGTGGATTGTTTAAAAACGCGTCATTTGTCTTTTGAGCTTGTCAATATTTACCTGATTGGTTGTCACGATCTTAGCCGTTGGTTTTCCTTTCCCGTCTTCGTAACAGCTTTATGTGTGAAGTACATCTGTATCCTTCCCATTCGTAGACAAACAGAAACTTGCATGTGTTTTTACGCTTGACCGCTGTAACCTGTATCGCATGGAATTTACGCGACATTCACGGTGCGCCTTTCTACCTTTTTAACATACAAAATTTTGATTGAAAAGGACGCGTGGAATATCAGTCGGTGCCAAATAGCTGGAACCATGTAACACGCTTCTTTTTTAAACTAATCTTTCTTATTCACACGCATATTTTTCTATGTCGCGTAGATTTCCTGTTGAAACCTGCAATGTAATGTAATGCCTTTTGACTGTTTAAAGGGCATTTAGTAGTTAATATGCGAGGTTGACACTTCTAGCATTGGTCATCTTGCATACGTCTTGCTCTTCAGCCTTAAATCTGGTCATAGCTGAAGTCAGTCGTTCGGTTTGCAGACTCTTTTCCTTTACAGTCAGGCTGCGTGTTTCCCGTTCGCTTGAGTTGAGCTGACTCACGGTTTAGGCTATGTAAGTTAGCTACAAGGAAGTAAATGTTGTGGTTCAAAAATTTTGGTTTGAAATTTTCCAACCCAGTTAAGTAGAAAATAAATAGAAACTGGTTTCGAATATTTCAAACCCCCCAAAATTTTAACCACAACATATAATAGCGAAAGACATTCTAAACCTGACGTCTCGAGAGCTAGCCCATCGTAAGCATTTTGGGGTGCTATGCTCTAACCTCAGTTCATTATCCCCTTGTTTACCCATTTGTCTCGAAACATTCTTCTGTTTTCCGACGCCATATTTTTGTGTAGCAAAAGTAACATTATGTTGTCGGACATATCTAAAGGGTTTTAAAAGAATTAAATTTTCCAGTCCCTCTAGCTGCCCTTGTCACGATGTCCCAGTTGAAACTGCACACGAGGCAGCGGGAGGGCGGTTTTGCGGAACGGGGTTTTATGTTTTCAAAAATGCGAATCCAGAACGTTCACTGTAGTTTTGCCGTTTTAAACTCCCACATCAAATATGACGCCAGAACCCAGTAGTGACCAGTCAGCGGGACAAGTATCCGTTTCATTCCTTTACTTATGCAGCTGAAATGTCACCGTTTCTTCAGATACTAATTCTTTATGCAATGCTAAGTAAAACCACGCTATCTGTACTAACCATAACGTAATTTAAGGTTTGACTGTTTAGACTTGGAATTCTGTTTTTGCTCTGTTGTACCTTTGGAAGTGGGGTCCTGCACGTTTGGAGAGACTTGTGGCAGTGTTGTACCTTTTATTTCTTTGGCGCCTTCAAGTACCTGCTTACTCTTGTGGTTCGTCTTGGCCTTCATCATCCACACTATCAGCCAAAGCCTCGTCTTCGGGCTCATGGAATGTCTCTTTACATAGCAGAAGCCGTTATATCCAGCGATGCAAACAGTTTTGAAGAATCGAATGTGTTCGAATCATCTGCAAATGCTGATTTCCTTATCGCTGACAAGTGTTCCTGGGAAACTGAAAAAATTGCTGTACCTTCCAGGGTCGCGCTCAAGAAGAGATCTGCCTGTGGTACTTCCTGACGTGAAAGGAAAGATTTCTCTCATTTGATGCACCGTAATGCCAGCTGGAAGAGCTTCAAACTCGATTGTCGTACCAACAAAAAACAACGAATTCAGGATTTGCAAACAGTACTAGGTGGTCATTAGCTAAATAGCAAAGTCAGCACCTACCTCTCAACTCAAAATCATCCGAAGACCTTGCCTTTCACTGGTTTATTCATGTTTTGACGATTTGAACCTGTTTGGCCCTGTTAGGAAAACCAGCAACCCATGACAAAGTGTACCTTCCGCAGTTTCTTTCACTAGCTTTTGTGCCCAGGCCGGTCCTGTTTTGCCTTTATTCCTTCTAGAATCATCGTTTCTAGGTTATTGGCATAAACAGTACTTCCTAGTAGCTGGTAAACAAAACCGAATGGAACTGTGCAGCTACATGAGGGCCATGGAAATCACTGGAACAATATTTGTACTCCTGTACACTTATCACTTTGGTGACATTATCAAACTAGCTTTCTAAATGCNTCATTAGCTAAATAGCAAAGTCAGCACCTACCTCTCAACTCAAAATCATCCGAAGACCTTGCCTTTCACTGGTTTATTCATGTTTTGACGATTTGAACCTGTTTGGCCCTGTTAGGAAAACCAGCAACCCATGACAAAGTGTACCTTCCGCAGTTTCTTTCACTAGCTTTTGTGCCCAGGCCGGTCCTGTTTTGCCTTTATTCCTTCTAGAATCATCGTTTCTAGGTTATTGGCATAAACAGTACTTCCTAGTAGCTGGTAAACAAAACCGAATGGAACTGTGCAGCTACATGAGGGCCATGGAAATCACTGGAACAATATTTGTACTCCTGTACACTTATCACTTTGGTGACATTATCAAACTAGCTTTCTAAATGAGGTTGGGACCACTTCAAGATGGCATTGCGTGGCACAACTTGTTCGTCAGACTTTTAACTTGTCGAGACATGGTTCACAACACTTAACCTTATGATCCACATCAGGGCTTGGTAGAAGCCGCGCATCACGAGCAGCGTTCACTTCAAGCTTGTCGCTGGTCCTGCAGAACTTTCAAACTACACCAAAATATTCTTCTTGAATCCAACCAGGATTCCCCTGTGGGCACGAATCTCTGAAGATAAATTCGATAATCATTAGCGGTAATACGGCGTATGCTTTTCAGTCCTGGCGACGAGTATCACGACATTACAGAATCAAGATGCTCGAATCACTTGGTTTCTTCTTATTTCCGTAAATAGTCAACAGAAAAGAGTTGGCAGTTGCATTTATCCTCAAAATCCCTTCCCAGAGGTTCACTAGTTGTTGCCAAGTTATTGACCAATCCAAGGATCACGAATGTTTGGAATTCGAATGTTGGTTTGTTGTCAAGAGGCCAGAGGCATCCTTATGGTACATTACACCTCTGGTTTTTTTGCACTTCAGCTGTGGCCAACGTCCACGCGTGGAGCACACACGTTTTCTTTGGATGTCCTTCTACCCAATTTTATAGTCTAAACGGTTTGCTGGGGCTGAAACATCTTCTCTTCATCTACACACTGAAAACGGCTGGGGCTTTTTCCGTGCCTCAACGTAATAAAGCTGGCACCCCAACTTCAAATTTACCCTCATTACTGCTTTTGGCTGGCCGAGGTTGTGGCTGCCCATTTAGGAAGTCTCTCTGTGTTGGGTAAGGTCAAGTTGTTGTCCTATTGCAATGAGGTGATTATGGCGTCTCCAAGGACCTAACTTAATGGCTATACTGCATAACCCACTCCTTGTCTTTTATCCAATTGTACAGTCGATGGTAGCTGACTCCCTCTCCCTTCAATTTCAGGGCCTGGGGAAACTGGCCCCCCAAGCAGACCGACAGACGAAAGTGATTGTTCCCAACCTCATCGGCAAGATGCAGGTAGTCCAACAAATCGATGCCTTTGTTCCCTTTTTGATGAGATACCCACATCAACTCGTCGAAGTTATCAATCCGCTCAACGCAGATATATTGCGTTTTGCAAGGCTGAGGGTAGGACGACTCCCAATGGCTCCCCGCTCCCAGCAGACGAACGGACTCTGATGCATTTTTGTACAAGGCTGGTCGACAATATGAATCCGTATTCCTCCATTAAATTACACTTGTCTGCCGTGCGTTCACTCCATATGGACAATGGTTTATGTGATCCTCTGCTCAACTGCCATCAGTTGGAATATCTTATTAAAGGAATTAAGCAAGTGGAGGGTTCGTCCAGTCCAAGGCGTCTTCCCGTTACGATTGATCTAATGAGGATAATCCACCAGTCTTTGGATTTTACTTTCCAGGACAATGTTATGTTGTGGGCGGCATGCTGCCTTGGTTTCTTTGGTTTTGTAAGGACAGGCGAATTCACCGTTAACGGATCATCCTTTAATGCAGAGACTCATATGACCATCAGAGACATTGAAGCCGATTCAGAAGTCAATTCTTCTTTCCTAAAAGTGCACATAAAGCGCCCTAAGATGGAGCCTTTTCGTAAGGAATGCGACGTTTACGTTGGTAGAGGTGATACTTGTATGTGTCCACTTGAGGCTATAATCAGCTACTTAGAGGCTCGTGGATCGACTTCAGGGCCCCTGTTCCTACATCTCGATGGCACACCATTAACACGGCAAACGTTGTCGTCGACATTGAAGTCCATCCTTGACTCAGCTGGGTTTTCAAGTGCTCACTCAGGATACAGCTTTCGGATTGGGGCAGCTGAAACTGCAGCTTCACGGGGCGTTTCCGGTCATCTCATCAGAACGCTAGGGCGACGGTCGAGTAGAGCCTACGATGATTACAGCAGAACTCCTGTCTGTTCGATTCTTCGTGTTACCAAACAAATACTTTAGCAGGTACGAATCGTGCGGTCTTTGTGTGGACAATGGCCGTTAAAAACTGCTTTAAATGATTTCCATCCCCTGGGCACCAAGTCTCCACCGACACTAATATTTTAACCTTGTTTTTAACTGTAACCTTTTTTCCTTCCATCCGTCAAACCATGGAACTAATCAATTTAATTTTAACAAAAATATCTGGAAAAACCATATTAACGCTGGTAGTTACCATTCTTCAAGCCTGCTACTCCAAGAGCGCAGTTAGGTAAACGTTTAAAGTGGTTTTGTCTTGGTGCACACTAGCATCGATTTACTTGAATGTGCTTGATATGGGGTAGCCAAGTCTTGGCCCTTTGTCGCGTGACACTAAGGTCTCCACCGAGAGCTTGGTGTCGGATGACACAGAAAGGTCCAGGACTGGAGCAGATAAGGTTAGAGTAGCGATAAGCACGGCTGTGGATCAATGTAACGTTAAGAAACTTTCTATTTGTTGTTTGCAGAAAAAATGCTCCGCGATGCACCATATACGCTCATCAGCGACCTTGCCAAACTTCTCAACCCTGGGGGTAGATGGAAAGAGCTTGGAGGTCGTCTTGATTTTAACAATACGCAAATAGGCAACTTTGCGCTAGTGCAACAGAATGCCACACAAACAATGCTAGAAGAATGGGGCCACAGAGATTGTGGGACAGTCGTAGCCCTCCAAAAACTATTTCGTTCAATGAAATGGACAAAAGAAGAAAGAATATGTGCAGAGTACGTGTAGCGCTGCTTTTCGTGTTTTCATCCGTCCGCTAATTTCTTACGTCATTCTCAAGAGTAGTGAGAAAGCATTTTTGTCGTCGTTGTCTATTCCTCGTGTACGTGGCCTTCTACGTGTGTATCTCCTTTTATTTATTGGATACATCACTCAAGAAATGGTAAAAGAGGAAATAATGAGAGCGTTCGTGTAGTGTACTCTCTTCTTCAATGTGTTAGTTGTGCGTTTTTAATGTTTTCAGGAATTTTTGCAGTCACGATTTTTCATTTCCCTTTGTCCAAAAGGATCAAACAGTACTCTGGATTATAGAATTGTGATCTCTAAACCACTGACAGTGTTTAAAACAGTGAAAAGCTTTACTTAGGGTGCATTTTGGCTGATAACATGCATGCGTACATTGTTTATGGATTCCCCATTCTCGAAGACTTTATAAGGGCAGTTAATCTGAAAGGAATATTTACGGGTCAAATCATGGCAGAAAAAGGTTACAAGAAAAACGAGAGAGCCCCTGGAAAGTTACTCCCCATCGAGTCAGTTCCAAAAGCTTTTGAATTCTCCAGTTCTTTTTGGCCAGAAGATGTTTTCAACTCAATCAGAAGTGACGGTTCGTTTTTGTCGTTAACTTTGCCTTTAGCGATCAAGCCCGTAAATATCCCGCCCCCGTGTCTCAGTTCAAAGTAGCTTAGTCCTTATTTGGAACTGTTTGTTTTCCCTTTTGGATATTTTTTAAAAATGGAAGATCGTGGCTTGGTCTCAATCAATACGCTTCTAGCGATAACTTATGTACAGTGCGTCTTAAATTCTCGTGTATAATTTCTTAATTTATTATTACTTCGCGCTTGTCAGTGGTTTTAAATGAAACTGAAGAGACTTTGGAGTTCTTTGTTATTGAAAATAGCTCTCAGAGAATATTAATTTTTCTTTAGAGAAAGTGCTTTGGGTATCTACACATTTGGCTAAGAAACAAATGAAATAACTGGTATTAAAATACCGTTTAGTAGTCACGTAGGTGACAAAACAATGATAATTTGTACTGCAACCGCTTGAAACAGAATATGCCTCTTCAGAAGCTACAGGGACATTTGAACAATGGGATTCCAGGGATCAAGTTAGTAACTGAAGATAGTTTTAATTGGCCAAAGGCGTCCAAAGGTGACGATTAGCGAATCGCAGTTTTCACCCGATTCTGATCGCAAAGGCCTGGTCTTTAGTCTCCCTTAAACTTCCCCAAATTTCACTCCGCATTTCAAAAACGAATAGTGACAGCTGAAATGTAGCACCACAGGATTTGGATCACAGAGCTAAAAAACTTAATATTGAAGTCAGATGAAATGTGGCCATAAGTGACTGAGTTATACTATTGTAAGGGCAAGATCAAGAAATGAGAGCACTTTCTAGAAAAAATAACATAATGGGAACTGTCCGTCGCTTCGAACTCATTACTCATCTTGTATTATGATTTTCTTTAAAAAGCATTCATAGCCTGATGAACGATTCTTTCTTTGCAAATAGATACTTATAGCTTGGACAGTTGTTTTTCTCAATAAATAATGCATAGTTAGTCTTTGCAAAATCTATATTTTGGAAACGTTTGCGCAAATAATACATATTTTCTTATACCGAATTATTCTGCCTTAGTCACGGCCACGTTTGAGGATAAATTGGTACCGTTAATAGTTGTTGTGAAGTTTTGGATTCATGAATATATTTTAATGTTGAAGATTGAATTTTGAGGAACTTTCTGAAAGCCAAAAACGATTCGTTATTTTATGCGATATAAATTGATAATTATACAATGTTTAAGAGGAGAATATTTTTGAAAGAAAGTGAGAGGGTTTCAGATAATCATATAATATTGAAAGAATAATATTGTGTACAACATAAATCCTGCCAATGGGATGATTTTATACACAGGCAAATGTTAGGCTAAAGATATTTTGTAAAGAACTGTAAAAATTGAAAAACATTCTTACACATAGTTTGTGCGATTAGGACTTATCTAGTGTTAATTAAGTTACTACAGTTGAAAAGCACATTATTCAAAATGGTTTTACCTCGGTGAAAGGTAAACGTTACTCTCGGTATTGCTCGCTTTGTTGTTCTATTTCTGTCCTGTTCTTGATCAACTTTGTTTAGAGCATCATTAGCAGTTGTAACACCAAAGTGAAGCCAAAAAATTTTCTACCGTTCTTAGAATTTACTTTTTCCTAAGTAATTAGCCTCTTGTTAATGGTTCTCTGTGGTTGGGCTTTTCCCATCAACCTCATGTCTCCATGGAATTGCCAAAAAAAGTTATGGTATGTCATCCGAGTTTTCCTTTGTGGTTTAATTTTACCAATGGTTCAAATTTCATTTGTTTTTTACTAACGTTAGGTATGGTAGTGTATTATAATTAGTTTCAAATAGAGGAGAGTAAAATTTGAACCAAAAATAAAAAATTTAACCACAACATAAGCAAGGTTAGGAATACATGACCACAACTAATTTTCTTCCTCTCCAGCAGCACTGTCAGTGTGCCTTTTGTATTAGATCCTAAAGTGTGGTCATTCTTAGCTACACTTCCATGTAGAGGTGAAAAGTAGTCCTAATTTCAGACAGAAACGCAATTGTCTCTGTCTTTATTTTATTTTTTACTTTTTTTTTCTCACTCAAGGAGATGTGGGGTTGATGAACATTTTGTTTCTTAAGGTTTTCTATTACCTGCCACAAATAAAACGCTTTTTAAAAAGGAAAGGTTTTATTGACTTGGGAGGATTAAAAATCTTATTTAAAATACCTAATTTATTCACCAGGCAGTCATTTTTGCTTGGACATTTAATGCAAAAGTATTTAAAATCCAAAAATATTTTTGCCATATACAATGACAATGTTATTATGCTGTTGTAACTATTAGCATTAAAAAGATGTTCAGATAAACTTGTCTCAGTGTTTGTCAATATGGGGGGAGTGGGCTGGCTGGTTGTGCTGTTCTTTCTTGGTCATACATCACTGATGTACTGAAGTGGGGGATCATTTTCCAAACTTTCTTTGTTTTCAGGGGGTCATTCACCCAGGGTGGGTCTCCCATATGAAAGTGATGGGGATGCTTGTCAGAAAATTAAAATTAAATCCCCAAGGGAGACCAATGTGGGTGTGGCTTAAGCTTAAACTGAACCCTAGAGAAGACCATACTAAAACAAACATCACAGCATTTTTGTAGATTTCTTTTTGCACAGCCCTAAGAGACACCTAAATGGGCAAATACAGTGACTTTCCGTTCCAATCACCCTGAGTGAGACGAAAATCTGCAATTTACATCCCCAAGAGAGATGATGAGCATCCCTTCATTTTTATAATGGGAGTTCCCCTTGGGTCATTCACAATACATCTTAAGGAAATTCTTAAGCTACTGTCTGCTTTTTGTAATATTAGAATATCACTTCACATAATTATGTTTTTCCATGAACTGGAGCCCAAATTATATACACATCTTCAACGTTTATATTGAATATGCTGTTACAGGACCCTTATTGATAGCAATTCAGTTTTTATTCTGAAATGGTCATCATTATTATTATCATTATTATTATTATTATTATTATTATTATTATTATTATTATTATTATTATGAAGCACAGATGACTATAAAGGGTCTTATGTTAAAGCACAGCAAAGTGTAATCTGTAGGACTAACTGTTACATTAGATTTTATTTAATTTTCCTTAGAGAGGCGCTGTTAGGGTAATGATACATTCTGACAAGTGACATGGTCTTGAAACAGCTACTAAGACAAATGAAATGGCAACAAGTGACAGAGACCATTTCAAAACCTGCTTTAACACACTAACACACACAAGTGAGATACTGACAGCAAGTGACATGACTTGCTCCTTACTACAAAGACATATATAACCCACCTCTCTCGTTTCTAAAGTGGCGAATAGATGGCTAAACCGAGCAAAACGGGAGCAAAATTGCCCCGGAGACGAGATTTCATCACGAAGTTCAGGAGGAGCAGCACGATAGGCAGGGTGATTTACTGTCCTGTTTTAGAGAACGAGTGGGAGAATGGGGAGAGAACGGGCGGAGGAGGCTAGGTGAGGCTAGGTGTGGCTCAAATCACACATCAATTTTTTCATTCTGCCTCTGAGCTTAACAAATAGCTCTCGTCAATTATCAGCATTACTGCAAAGTAAAACTCCAAGGCGGTTATTTCGGGTAATTTGTGTCTACAAGTGTTACCCCTGGTTCCTGTGGCAACTCTAACCCTTAAACTCCCGTCAGAGCCCCCGTCACTTTATAGGAGAGTCCCCCACACCCCTTCCCCCCATCCCCTCCCAGGGATTAAGCAATTATTAAAAACTCACCTCTAGAAGGGATCAGGCGGAGAATCCGGCCAACCAAAAAAATAATTGGAAGAGTTAATTCGCTCTCCATGCCCCATATACTATTGACATCCTAATTTTGATTAATAAAGGTACCTTGACATGGACAGTTGGGATAATAGTCTTAATATTTGAAGTTTTAAGTAGAAAAGTTAAGCTTATATAAATCCGTAAAAGCTCAAAATCTAGGACAATTCCAAATTTCAACTGTAAATACTGCCAAAAGGTAAGTTGCGTGACACTCACCTTCAAACTTTCGTGACCACCAGAGAAATCGCGTGACATTTTCTTTCCCAGTGTCATCGTGCAATCAATGGAACGCCCGACATATTTATTGACGCAAAGAGAGATTTTCGACAATAGTATTGTTAGTGTGTCGAAACTCGGTCACTGCGACGTCAAAATGAGCCGTGCCCATATGTTATACGATAATAAACTACTGGATTCGGTTCCTGTGAGTCCTGTACGGTGGGAAAAAGGCTGGGAACCTGAGCAAATATTCCGTCTACAAAGGTTTGCTTTTTAAGTTATAGTTAGCCAGCGACTAAGAGCGAGAGACGACAACGTTGTGGTTATCATTTTAGATTTACATATAAAACTAAAAATCGTCATATCGTAAGTATCCTTCTTCGAAGGAAAATTGTGAATGGATGGAAACTAGCAGAATCGATGGGGTTCTTGCAAGCACAGTGTGAATCCATCATCTAGATGAGATGTCAGGTTTTCTTATCTTTTGTATCATGGAACTTCAGCGAAAACAGTCTAAAACCGCAGTTTCTTTACGAGTACGTCTACCAGGCATATGACCATATGTGTCATGCCTCAAAGAAGTCCGTGCCCTTTAATTAACCCAATTAAAAAAGGCAACAAAGCAAAGCAATTTTGCAACCCTCAAGTAAAAGTTGTCATTTTACAAAATATATCAAGTTATTTGACATTGGGCTCTTACTTCAGGGCAAAAGATATTAGTCTTTGTTGATGAATACTATAATTTCTTGCACCAGTGACCTGTGAGTTTTTTTTCCTTTAAGCACTGGAGGTGTTATTGTTGAGGGAACATTACATGGCAGATTGAGATTTGCTATTACAGACCCTTTCTCTGGTACCCAAAAGGTATTTCAGATCTTTTTATGA